GTTAGAGTTAGGTATTGATGTATGTACTTCCGCTGTTATGCATCGTGGGAGTTCGACGGCTCAGGAGGACCAAAATGTTTTGCTGAGAAGCAAAACCAACGAACGCAGGTGCGAACTCACGACAATGTAACACAAGGAAAAAAAGAAATATAAACACTTGTATTAGAACAGGTATATATGTAAAATGGTTTACTGCAAGCGCATATACGAAGTTATATGCCTTATTCAAATACGATGTACATAAGCAAAGTAGTATAAAAGGAATGGATGTTTACAAGATATGTATTGTTGATATTACCTTAACTAGTGATCGCTGACTCAATGCTGCTGTCGGTCTGGCTGCTGTCATCAAAAAGAACCGCAGTTCAAACCGAACATCGCATTAAATAATCTTGAACTTCGAAAGAAGCCCACCGGTAATTCTCCCGCAGCGGTGTAGCTTTGCAGCGAACAGCGGTGCAGAACACTTACCAGTGGTTCCCAACTATTGAAGGCTTTTGGCTTCAACAAAGAGAAATTGCATTTTCTCGCAAAATATCGCTAGAATTAAGCCATTCGGAAGCACCACCACCACACCAGCAATCGCTTCCTCAGAAATTTCCGGCAGCTCCAATTCTTCAAAATCTTCGATATCTTCAATATCGTCCTCAAATTCTTACGCGTTTTCGACTCCTGTGTCATTACGGGCTATAACTATCGACTCTGCAGGGCGTATCTTTTCAACCACACACTCAACCGCATTCTCTACATCATTTTCATAATCTTCTTCTAATTCGGAATCTCTTTCCAAAGCTTCCATAATTTCCTCTTCATTAAGATGACGTCGTGAAGCCATTTCTGAAAAAACGAAACCAGACGCGCAAAAATCTTATAGCGACGTTTACAAAGTGAAAAAAGTCTCCGTTGAGTAATCTTGTCCCGTTTAAGGGACAGCTCCTTTTTGCTCACGGAGACGCAGCTGGCGGTTTCAGTTCACTTTTTGTGTACCAGGAATACTTACAAATTTTTTCAGAAAAATCACGAAATCTACTTTTATGGAACACTTTATTAGCACAAATTTTTTATTATGAACAGTCCCTCACGAAATCCACCTGCACACTGCCGATTTAGCCAGAAAATTACTTCAATGGACACTTATCTAAATCTAATAAACCTTTTGATTTGAAAATGGTGCCCGGTGTCAATATTTTTAAACAGGGGTTTAATAAAGTGAAGCTAAACTATGCAAATATTGCAGTCCCTTATAAGGGACATCGCGTCTGAGAGGGTTAATTTCAAATGCCTGAAATTATTTAAACAATCATTCATAAACATTTTTCTATAGGATACATTTAATTAAAAAATGTCTGTCGTTTGTTATCTGTACACATATACATTTTGAAAGTCGTTTTTTTTTTGTTTTTTCTGTTCGAAAAACTCGAGAACAGCTGTACCAATATTTTTGAAATTTTGGACATCGACTCCAGACTATCCAAGGATGATTGAAGATGAAAAGCAATTTCGATATATCAAGGGGGCGTGGCACCTCCCATACAAACTGAAGTTGTCACACAACATATATCTGGAAGTAAATATTCATCGTAGAGTGCTGCAACTTAGTACAAGTAGTAATATCAACGCCAAACTCATGGAAAAAATGGGAGTTATTGAAAAAGGGGGCGTGGCATCTCCCATACAAACTGAATTTATCGCACCACATACACATTCTAGTGTGTGTGTGTACTTGTTGCCCGGAAAAAATAGAATTTTTTTTTACATATATTCTTATTGAGATCAAAATTGGCACAGGTCTTAGGATCATCATTACTAGGGAAGACAAAAATATGCACAAAAACTTAATTATATGATCATTAAAATGACTCCAAAATGTTAAAAATATGCTTGATATATGCCACAAAGATGTACCTACATATATAACGAAAATTTTTTCGATTATCGCATAAAAAGTTTTTGCCCATACATATCGAGCCCTAACCGCCAAAATATTTTTGTTAATATTGCTTTTAAATGAATTTTTAACGCAAATAAAAAAAGGTTTTTTTGTAGAATATACATTATATTTTGACTTCAGCGTCAACTCAGGGTGAATTTGTTGGAAATCTATGACTTATTATGTTTCAACTACATACGGTCGAACCAAATCGGACCATAAATACGGTTTTTCGAAATATCTCAACCTTGGCGCCACCTAGGAAGACCATTTTACGCAAACATGATTCTACTTATATAGCCAGTATATATTTTAAAAAGCAGACAAATCGGCCCGTAAATACGTTAGATATAAAATTTTTTTTGTCGTGGTGGTTCTTCCGATGGAAACACCCATATGCATTTGCATATTTTTGTCTTCCCTAATCATTACATGTGAAGTGCTATATGCCCCCTATGATTCCCCGTGTGCTTAACCCTAGAACACACACCCGGGTACAAATGTATCCACTTTCAACTTTGAAGTGTTGTAACTTTTGAACCGCTATACCTCTATACCGCTAACTTCGGATCTAGGAAGATTATTTAGTTTTGAGTTCAAATTCATTTGATTCAGATCGGACCATTGGTTCAGGAGCTACAGCCTTCCAAACACATTATATACGTAAACACACACCCGGGATACGTTTGTACCCCAATAGTAAAAATCCTCATAATAATAAAAAAAAACATTTTTTAT